ATGGCTGGCAGTCGGCCACGCCAGTGAGGCGGAAACGGTCGCTTGTGAGGTCGCGCTCGCGTTGGTCTCGGTCTCGTAGTCGGCGTCATTTGGGGCCGACGTGGCAGGTGCCGACGATCAAGAAGGGCACTCAGGTCATTGAGGTGACGGCGCAGGCCATGTCCGAGGCGGTGGAGCTGCTGGGGCTGACGCAAGTGCCGGCCGACTTCCTAGAATTCCTGTGGACGTCGGCATTTGTGGTGCATCAAACGCGGTTCAAGCGCAGGGGCGAGGAGCTGGTGGTGCTGCCCAAACCTGATGCTACCAGCAAAACGGTCGGTCGGTGGGCAGATAAACACTCTGTCAGCCCGTGTGTGTGTGTGTGTGTGTGTGTGTATGCCCATGCATCACGTCTCTCCTTGGTGGTGTGTCGGTTTGGTTAGGGGCTGCATCGGATGACGACAACGGACCTCAGCCATTCGTTCCGCAGCTTCCACCACGGAGGCTCCTTTATCCTTGACGACGGCGACGAGGACCAAAACACGGCTGCCGACGACGGCGATGATGACGATACTGATGCGGATGCCGATGGATGGGAGCCCATAGGCAGGCGGACAGAGAGGTCGGCCACCGGCGACCTGTCGCCTCGCGGGCTCTCATCGGCTGCCACATGCGATGATGACGCATTCGACCTCCTTGAGGCGCCAGCTGCCGACAGGCTGAGCGCTTCAGGCGGACACGAAGGTCAGCCGATGTCGCACGTCGCTTTCTCCGACTCGCCTAAACACGCCCGCCCGATGTGTGTGACTCAAACAGATGGCGCCGATACTTTCGGCCTCGCTAGTGAGCCCGAGGGGGGGAGGGAGAGGGATTCTCGGCGGCCGAGGAGGGTGGGCACGCGGCTGCCCTTTCAGTCAATCGCAAGCTTCGGGCGGCTCAGCACCAGCGAGAGGTCCGTATATGTTGCTGCATTCCTCCGATTCAAGACACACGAGCCGACCCATGTCTGTCTGTGTGGATGTCTGTGTGGCTGAATCTGTGCAGCATGGTGTGGGATTCGTCATCAGGCCGGAGCCTGGCTCTGCCGGACTTCCAGGTGGGTGATACATGGCCTTCACACACGACTGACTGTCTCATCGGGGCTGACCTGAGTGCCCCCTTTGTCGCGTGTGTCCTGATGTCAGATGAACCTGAGCTACGTGATTGACGCGCTCGTGACTCGGGAGCACCAGCACCAGGACCGGCTGGCGGCAGGCGGCAGTGGCGGTAGTGACGGCAAGGGAGACAAGGCGGGTCACACGGGCGGCTGGAGAGACATGTACGAGTCCTTCCGCAGAGCAAAGCGAAGCCTTATCGAGGCCGACACCGCACCGGTGAGGACGGAGAAACTCGCGCAGACAGCAGAACACATCACATCACATCAATCGTGTGTGTCTCTGTCGGTTCCATGTATGTTATGTGTGTGCAGGAGAATGTTCCCTTGGCTCTCGTGAGCTGGGCCTCTTCGGTCGAGTCGACAGCCGGGGACTCGGCCAAACTTCACCCGACGGCCACCAGTGCCAATGCTGACGTCGATGCCGGCCACGAGTCGTGCACCGTCAGCCGCAAGACCTCCGAGGACAGCTCTCGGCCAGCAGACGTGCCGGCAGAGTACGCCGACGCACAGCAGAGGCAGCTGATGGTCAGGTCTTGGTCGATGCCCTGCCCATCAACGTCCATGCGGGCTCACGACGATGGGGAGAGGCGTCTGGAGAGGTCTATTGCGGAGCCGCCGGTGGATGGCCGGCCGCCTCCTTTGGTGCCTGAGGCGGCTTATGCCGAGGAGGAAGAGAGGCTGTTCCGGTTTATAGATGACTTTTACGATAGCATTCCTGCCTTCGTGAGCACCCCTGCCTTCGTGAGCAGCTGTGGTGATGTTCGGACGCATGTGCGTGCAATGCCGCTGCCACCGGGTGACCTGTCATGACTGACGTCTGTCTGTTGTAGTGTGCGGACGTCACTGTCTTCCTGTCTATGAGTCGTTGTGCCGTGGCGCGTTGCTCGGTTGGCGCGTCGTGGTGTGTTCGATGGGCGCATCGCAAGGAGATTGTGATGGTCGCGTGAGGCGTGCGGGTCTTGTTGGTGTGGTGTGGGAGAGGTGGGGCGGGGGCAGCTGTTCGTTAGTAAGGGGGGCTTGGCCGGGCCGTAGTGTGTGCTGTGCGATGCGCTGCTGGTTTTTTTGGCGCCAGGCACGTCTTATGGATGTACTCGTCTGTCTGTCTGTGTGTCTATGTGATCTCTGTTGTGTTCGCTCATCGGCAATGGTCGATGAAGTTACTGTCTGCCTTCCTGCCTGCCTTGTTTGACTGTCTGTCTGTCTGTCTGTTGTTCATCTGTTTGTCTGCCTGTGTGAGTCCATTGCTTGCTGTGGTTCCGTGTGGTGGTGTGCAGCTGTCTGGCTGTGTGTTGCTGGGCAGCCTCACTGATTGCGGGCAATGACGACTGCGTCTTTGTGTTTTGGGATGATCAGATGTCTGCGGAGCGTACCTGTCTGCCTGCCTGCCTGCCTGGATGGCCATGGCTGTCTGTATGGATTCCGTACGTACCGACGTTAGAAAGACAATGCCTGCATACACACGTACATACATACAGGTACGTTAGGTACACACATTACCTTACCGTGTGCAGGTAAGGTTTTTTTTGTTTTTTTCGCTCCGATCGCTGCCTCCCTCCCTGTCCGCCTGCATGCTTCCCTGCCTGTCCGCCTGCATGCCTTGTCACAGGTACCTACCTGCCTGCATGTACATGTATCGCACTGAGGTCTTGGCTCCCCTGCCTCATTTCTTGCCTGACTGCCTGCTTGTCTGTGGACCCACACACAAGCGGGCTTCTTTTTTACCCCTCTGTATGCTGTCTGTCCGTGTGTTTACTTGTGCAGTGAGTGAGTGCCCTGGCTGTCTTTCCGGGTGGCTGGCGACAGAAAATGCAATGCTTCACATTGATCGCACCGGTTTTCGTCCCACTCGCTATCGTCGCTGTTATCGCTCCTTGGTTATCGCACTCTCCTGGTGCGCTCCTGCATCCTTTGCATGTCCCACCCACCTACCTGGCTTTTTCGGCATTCATCCACTCACTCATGATGATCACGCTGGCTGATCTTTTCTGTGGCTGTGGGTGCGTGCAAGTGTGTGTGTGTTTAGTGCTCTTTTTGCCTGATGATCCATCCATGCATGCAGTCAGTGTGACATTATTATCTCATGCTCCCGCCTGCAGTCCAGCCAGTCAGCCACAGACCAGCAATGCTCCACATATCCCTTCTCTCATCCAGCCAGCCAGCCAGCCAGCCATCCATGAGTGCCGCGTTTTGTGTCAATTTGGTCGGTCGCCATTTTGGTTGGGCTCTTTTATTTATCTGACAATGAAGGCTTCAAACTGGCAAGGCTTTTTGCCCCATCCCTCTCGGTGTTTGTGTATGCGTGCATGTGCGGGAGGGTGGATGCGTGGCTGGGGGTGTGGGTCATCCATCTGGTGTATTTTATGACCTCAGCTCATACCCGTCCGTCTGTCTGTCTGTCTGTCCGTCTGTCTGTTTTCGTGTTGTTGTATCTATCTGGCGGCCGCAGGCAGGGCGAGCCCATCATGTAAGCCAGTCAGTCAGCCAAGTCAGGTCACCAACCACATACATCCACCCACACACACACGCACACATGCACCCATCCATACATGTGTGGATGGGGGAGGGAGAGGGCAGGCAGGCCACGGCTAGTGAGTCGAGTGGTTCGGTTCGTTCCCCTTCCTCTCTCTCTCTCTCTCTCCTCTTGTGGATTGAGGTGGGACGCCTGCAAATATACACTAGCCATCACATAAACGATAGCCGCCGGGATTATTATTTTTCTGCCTTCCAGAATTTTTGCTGCTGCATCCTAAGCGTACCGCTCTCTCGCTCACTACACTACCCCTCCGTCTCGCTCTATTTCTCTGTCTGTGTCCTTCTCTGACCGATCATATCCGACTTCCTCACTCATATATCAATCACATCTCGCCAAGTCTCGCGTTCTTCCTCTCTGCCCCGCTCGCTTGTCATGTCTTTTTGGATCGTCGCTCATTCACTGACTTATTCATAGATCTACAGAGACATAAGTCAGTGAGCTGACCAGTGAGTGGGTGAGAGAGAGTTGGTTCTGTTCAGTCCATTCCATTCCATTCCTGCAATGCACAGGACGTTGGTTGGTTGGTTGGTCGGTTGTCATGGGATGGATGACGTGACGGAGCGGGACAATTGAGCAACACTACGCTACACTATATACCTTCATGTACTCCACTCGATCCACTCGACTCGATGCACTGCACTGCACTCCATCCATCGACCAGTGTGTGTATGCTGGAACGAACATGCAAACCATGCAGTCAATTCAGATTATTGAATACAACGACATTCACTCAGGGATGTGTCCAACAAACTTGCAAAAGGTGCTGACGATTAAGGGGCTAGGTAGCTAGATGACTGTCCAGCCGCGAATGACTGCAGCTGTGCGCATGGGCGTGCCCGCCTGGACGCTTTGGTCTGCAGTCGGTCTCCCTTTCTTCCATCTTTCCTCAGCCATCGACCACTCCTGCAGTACATATGTAAGTGGAGAGCCAGCAATGTCAATATGTACTCCCTGAGATCGTATATATTTTCGCCCATTTCCGTGACCGCTGCGTCTCTATCGGTGTCTTTCGCATTGTGGTTCCTTGCAGTGAATACCGGTTTCCGAAGTTGTCTGCACACTCGGGGGAATCTCTTTCTCAGCCATCGGCAGGGCATCAAGGAGGCCAGCGGTGTTGTGGAAGTGGATGAGATGGATCGGTCGGGTAGAGTGGTGAGCGACACCTCATCCTTCGAGGGCCTGTAGGGAGGAAACAGTGCAAGACGGTGAGGCTCTTGTCTCAAATGGTCCTTCCAGTCTTACTTGAGCCACATGGCAAACAGAATCTGCGAGAGAGGGAATTCAAAGATCATTTTCACGCACCCTTGCGCCGTCTAAGCTCGCGCGGCGGCCGGCGATCGCAACTCCCCCTATCTCTCTCAACTCACTGGCCATGGATGTACGCATCCTTCCCGCTTCATCGGCTGCCAGGCAACCTGAGCGGAGGAGTCAAGGATGAGAATTCTGTCAAGGGAGCGTGTTCTGGGGTGCGTGATCCTGTTGAGCCTCATGAGGAGGGCCGTCGTTGTCAGCGCCGGTGGATCGGCGCCGCCCGCGGCCACCGCAGCGACAGATGACGACGCGCCAAACAGACGGGTCAGTCAGCACAAACACGGGAATATGGAAAGCCACGCACGGCCTCATTGTCTGTCTGTCGTGCTTGTCTGTGTGCGTCTGTTGGTAACAGATCCGCGGCCAGTTGAGGTCTGCTGCGGGTGCGGACGACCCCTCCGACTCATCGGGCAGGAAGCGAGACTTGTTCACAGACGACTATGGGTTTGATGATGACGAGTTTGATGATGATGATGATGACGATGATGATGACGAATACACGGACGACCGCGGAACACGGCGGGAGGGAATCGGCGGGGGGCGTGACAGGCGGCTGTCGCCATTCGGGGGCGACGACACTTTCGACAGAGCCGAGTACGCCCGACGGCCCGTTTGATGATGGCAGACCGCGTCGCCGTCGCAATGAGCCCTACAGGGCCGTGACAGCGACGGCGACGGCAGTGCAGGTGTTGGTCGAGTTTCGTTTCTTGTGTTCGTACTCTCGAGACTCGGGCGGGTGTGTGTGTTGTTTGCCCGACGATGCACTTTTTATTGCATGCCATTGATGCACTCTCTCGCTCACTCACTCACGTGTTCATCGACTGACTCATCCTTTCAATTGCTCGTCTCTCCGCCTGTGTATTTTTCCGCCTGTTCATACGCGTGTCGCGGCCGGGTCAGTCTCTCTCTCTCTCTCCCCCTCTCTGTGTATGTCCATCTCTATCTCTGTGTATCTCTGTCTGTGTGTCTCCCTCTTTTCCCTCTTTCTGGTTTCTGACTGACTCTGCGGATGCAGCTGTGTTGTGCAGGCCTGTCTTGCCTCCTTCCTTCCGTGAGTGTGGGAGTTGATTGATTCGACCTGTCCGTATCGTGGTGCGGTGCGGTGCGCTATCTCGCTGGGTACATGTACATAAGATACACACATATACAGCCGGGGTAGGTGAGAGCTGCAGTCATGGGTGGGTGGGCTGGTGTGTAGTGGTCGCTACGGCCTCGGTGGGTGGTTGGATGTGTGACTTCACAGGAGAGTTTGTTGTCTTGGTGACACTACGGCCCCTGTTTTGTCCTTTCACACTACTGCAGTCAGTAGTGTTGTCTGTCTTTCCGCCTTGCATGTGGTGGTGGACAAACCCACCACTGCTCGACGCCTCTCGCTCAGTGTGAGTCTGTGATGTGTGTAACTGTCATGTATCACGACCGTGATAGCATCAGCTTCACACCGACACTCAGACACTCCATTCAATCAATGCACCATGGTTCGTCCGTCCACACGTGTCTCCAAGCAGATACTGCAGCTGGCTCATATCTCATCCCTTCATCGCCCACACCACCCAGCCGCCGCCGCCGCTCGTCACCGGCTGATCATGGCAATCACTCTTCGCCCTTGGAGAAGATCCAGGCCCACCTCGCCTGAACCACCGACCACACACACGCACAGACGCACGATATCGATGCCTGCCTGACGCCTTCCTTGCTTGCTTCCGTGTTTCTCTCACCCGTTCGTCGATTCTGACTTTGCCCTCGTCCTGCAGGCTCTCCAGACACGCAAGGATCTCTCGGTCGCGCAGGTTGGTCGCCTCACGCTTCCTGTTGACCAGATACCTCACGTCAACGAGCTTGAGAGGCACACCACGGGCAACATCCCGCATGGTCTCTGCGATTCTCTCACGGCGCGCTTCCATGGTGCTTGCTGACGGTGGACAAGCCAAGCAGCTTGGTTGGCCAGAGAGAGCGGTCCCACCTTGAGAGCTTCTATGGCGAGCTTGAAGCCGATCCCCGTGAACCCTAACCCTACAGAACTGCCAGCGAACTTGAAGGCCTGACTTGAACTTTGTTGAAACAATTCGGGCTGCACCAGCAACAATGCCCGGAGGGGACGAGATGAACGGTAGGAGGCGCCATCCACCATGGGCCTGCCATGCCATGCAAGCACACGTGTCCTGTACTGCTGCGCATCAGGCCACGGGTCAGGCCACACAGTCAACATCGAGCTGGGCGAAACATCCGTCGACGAGAAGTCACCGAACGATGACGGCATCCACCCGTCCGTGTTCGGCAAATCGACGCTGTCAGTGCCAACGACCAAGGAGCCGGGCGACAGTGAGGGGGATCTGCAGTCCGAGTTCTCGACTATATCGCTCAACTCGGGCATCCCGCAGGGCGCCGAGGGGGATTATGACCTGCCGATGAGCGATGAGGAGCACAAGAAGATCGAGCTGGCGAGATGGGTCTCGTATGTGTCCATCTTCCTCTCGCTCCTGCTGGGGTCGCTGGCCATCGGATACGGGAGCAAGTGAGCGAACAGGACCACGAGCATGAATGGGTGGCGGATATTGGATTGTTGATGTGTGGGTGGGTGGGTGGGTG